TTGGATTAATCGAGGTCAACTCGTTGGGCCAGTTTACTCGGCGACGGTCTCCGGCATGTGTGAAGGGACAGTCACGTTGTGTCGATGCAACACCTAGCGCTATTTAGCAGTGATTCAAAGTTCTTCCAGGATGTTGGGTTACATCCCATCTTCGCCTCAGTTATTTGTCGTCCTTTTTTCCAACCTCCCGCCCACCCTGGCGATGTGGTGTGGCACCTCACGTTCCGTGTGAGGTTGGCCCCATCACATTGGCCGAGGATCACACGTGTTTAGTGTCATCCTCCGGCCCACGACCCAACTCCGGGGAGGAAGGGAGCCGGGTAAAACGAAATCAAAACCCCTACCATCAATTGAATTGATTCAATTCGCTTGCGAACAATCGGTCTGACCGATCGGTCTGACCGATGGTTCCTTGTTCCTAATTTAGGAATCCTAAATTCAAGGAGCGTTTCTTGTGAAGTAGAAACCCCCACCACTACATCCATAACACCGGAATTATACACGGGCGCATGGCACTCATTTACTCTTATCCATTTGTGAGTATTGCAAACACATCACTTATGAGAACAAAAATTTAATAGCGTGTCTGCCACCACAAGTTGTGCCTCGCATGTAGAGAAGTTTATACTAGTTTTATCAATACTAGTGATTCAGCAACTATCTGCGTTCAAAATCTGGACTCGAGTAGGTTCGAGTAGTCGAGAAGAGAGCCTTCTAATGGGCCTCTCGAGGTTTGTCGCTACTGGAGAGCTCAGCTTTCAAACTTGATGATGGCGTAACGCTACGCTACATAAGACTAGTACCTACTTATTCGTACAGCCTGTGCGGGGCTCGTACAGCACGGGACGTAACGCCCTGTACCGTACAGACTGTACGGTACAGGCGCTATTCTGAGTCGGAACATTTGAGGCCGGAGAATGAGACCCTATAAAGACGGTGCCTAGCTCAGAGAACGATAATAGAGAAAGTGAGTGACAGCCCCCAGCTGTCAGCCCGATCGTCCTCCAGACCAAACGAACCTTTTCGACACCATATCAGTGATATGGATGCTGTCAACGCGATGATTCTCACATACTCTGGGGATCATCGCATTGTCAAGATAAACTCTTGCCGTGAAAATCCTGAGCGATTCTGCCCGATTGTAGGCTGAAGCTTACCAATTTGGACACATCGCAGTTGTCTACAGTATAGCGATTCAACTTGTGGCCGGCTGCACCCTTTTGGAATGACTGTGCAAAATATTCGGCTTCCAACTGGAGTTCATCTCGGGGAGCAACGCCAAATCGACAATGGATTGTGTGTATAAATAGCCACTCGCTCGCGTCTTCCTCAGTACGAATGATACTGGAACATTACACAATACGCATGATATGGAAAAGTCTGATGCCAAATGATACCGTCTCTGATAAACGATCTAATGTAATCCCCACACGACTAGATTGATAGTCCATCAAATGAAAAAAGTTACCGCAAACGCTCTATGAGCCTAAGCAAGTTGTTCTGAGCAACAAGGGAGCACTTCTCTGTGACCACACCCCCACAGATGGTGATATAATGATGAGTGCAATAGTCAGTACCCAACGGCAGAAAAGTAGAGTCATGTTGGGTGAATAATCAAAGCAAAGCTTCATCACTTTACTCAAGGCTGTCCAAGATAATTACCAAGCCCATAGCTCATCTCAATATATCGAATAGGGTTGGCATCGATGGTATGCTTTAGAACGCCATATAGTGTGTGCGAACGGTAGTCTAATGGAAACATATTAGCCATGTCTATGTACTGCTCGTCAGTAAGGTGGATAGCGAACGCGTTAATATCTTCCGTGCCCGGCACATGTTCCCAGTGGGCTTTCATCGGATCGACAGTGTCGTCTGATATCACCATGAAGACAGTGTTGTCCGCCCTGAAGTTGAGAACCAGGAAGGGGGTATGGTAAAGCTTGCTCGAGAAGAATAGGCCGTTAAGATCGCCGAGCACGTAGTTGTGGAAGCTCAGAACGAGGAAGATCAGCTTGATGCTTGAGATGAACATGAAGCCGATTCGCTTGGAGTCTCCGATTCGAAGCACAACAATCTGCACGCGTGAAGTGGTCTTCATAGCTACGGTGCTCCACGGTGGAGCGGCTCCACCAATCATGGAACGGCTCCACCGTGTAAGACACGGCGTGTTCCTTCTGTAAGTGCAGTCCCGCTATCGAGAGTAACCTAAGGTTACTAACCTTGATGTGAAATGGATTTCGTGGAAGGTGGTCCTGAAAATTTGTACCCCGGATGCAAATTCCTAGCCTGTCTGCTGGTGAAGCGACGCAGAGATTCAATCTCTGAGATTATGCATCACGTCAGACACCCGCTGTACGAAAGGCTCCGGTGATGGAGAATGAGTAACAACAGTTATTAATCATGAAGTGACTGTACGGTACAGTCTGTACCTCGACCCGGGTAGTACCCAGTGGGTACTACTCACGGCCCTAGACCCTAGGGTCAGTTGAAAATAAAGACAGATGATATATTTACGCTCACTCTGCTCACGGGAGTCTCCCTCGGCAATTCCAGAGGAGCATTTCCCGGAAAGTTCGCCTCAAAATTGAGTTGATCAACCCAAGAAAGAGAAGGCTCCAACATAGAAGGAGACTGCTTGTGACGAACACTCGGCAGTTCACGGGAAATACAGAACATATGTCGCGTGAAATCATATGCGGCTCATGATGTAGCCAGTCGATTCGACGGGAACGAACACCTCCGCCAAGGTTGGAGGAAATAATTTTTGAAAAATGACGGGCAAATAAATATGTGGAGAAAAATAGAAAGCTTTTGTCCACTTATGATTCTCGACATGCGATTCCGTTGTTGCCACAGAACTCTCCTGGGCATGGTCTGCGTGGGACCGTATGTAAACATTCCAGGTTCGAAGAGCCCGGACTCCAGGCGAGAGTAACGGGAAAATGGAAAGTTCACGCCTGGCTGGATTGAACGACACAAATAAAGAAGCTTTATCAAGAAAGTAGACGGAAAGTATTACGGGCCCTGTTGTACAGGGTGGCCACTTGCAGGAGACGCAAATGATTATGCATTCGCCACAGTTTATTTAGAGATCTGCTATAGTTTTCGATAAACTGATAGTGTAGATAGTCTTAGTAGATAGTGTATCGGGAGGCATCATGCCCCAGGCATGAGTAGTCAAGCGCGAGTCATCAGTCAAAGTCTCTGTCCCAGAGAGCACCGAGTTGACTCTTTCGCAATCGAGGCAAGCAAGGGCGACAGGCAGATTAGCTATATGTTGCACGCAGACGCAATCGTGTGTGTGCAGTCGTCGATTCCACATGCCCCCTCCTCCGAATAAGTATACAGAGAACAGCAGTGTGAGCAACGGTTCACAATCAAAACTGTTCGACGAACAAAGAATCGCGTAAAGCGTGATGAACATATTTCATATGATGAAGATGTATAACACGTGTTTTACCGTTTGGAGCATTCCGTAACGTCGCTACTACTTATGCGGAGCGATGCACGGTGCATGATGCACCCACCGTTGCAAATTCTGGGAAGATTTCCAACAGAAATTCGAGGTTGAGACCTCATAAAACCTGTAGCAACGTATCATGATATCCCTCCATTACCGCCTACTCCTAACTAAATGACTCAACGTTATTGGACAACAGACATCTTGCAGTAATATGGTAGACCGCTTACGGCAAATGACTAATCGAGGAAAGTTGAAATTCCCAATATTACACTCGAGCGATATTTCACAGATCAGAATGTAACGACAACAATAAACTGTTCCGACTTCCAAAAAAATACATTTTAAATGAAGGAAAAAATTTCTCTTCATCTCAGTCAATCAGTGTTCATTCGCAACATCGTCGTGCCATTGTAGAGTTGTTGCGTCTAGTGCGGCATCATGTTTGAACGCATAGTTACCAACTATGAGTCAACAAATATCGAGGCACGCTCCACCGCATCGTATTAGTCGTTTTGGAGTGTTGCGTAAGACTGAGTGTTTGCCAACCAGCCGGCACAGGGCGGCTATAATACCGAACCTCAAAACATGCCGTGCATTGGCTTAACACCACAGTTACATTGCCTAGCACGCAGGCACATAAGCAATGTCCCCCCAAAAAACTAGTAAAAACAAAAGAAAAAATTCCAGGGTGAAAACAGCTCGAGATACTCGTGGATAGCCAGATTGCTATCACTTCAGCCTCGACCGGTTGCACCACCTTCTGGGACGGGTCG